ACAACAAAGCTAGCTTTCACTGCCGCGTTGTTTTTGGTTGTGGCTTTCGCGAACACATTCTGCTGCGATCGCAGTTTGCCTTTTAATTCTTGGGCAATTTGTTGTTTTTCTTGATGGCTAAATTTGGCATACTTACCTCCGTGTTTGGTCTCAAAATGCCGACGTAGATTGTACTCTTTGACAACCGCCACCGCCTCATAACACAAAAGACATACCGGTTTTTCTCCTTGAAGCACAAACATGTATTCGCCTTCCCATCTTTCTTGAAACACCCTTCCATCTGCATCAATTTTTCTCTTCCTGGACATTTTGGGATCATTATTTGTATTTCTCAATTCCACTTGTTGGGAAAATCGCATCGATGTGGAAACACTGCAGTCTAGTGGCGGGATGCCGTCACTTCGCGGGTAACATAATCGGCATGTATTGTGGGAAATGTAGTTTTTGGTCACTGCACGCATTTGACTTATTTATTTTTAGACAATCAGACCTATTAAGCTCTCGCGGGCCACATAAAATGACGTGGCGGGCCACATTTGGCCCGCGGGCCTTGAGTTTGACACGTCTGCATTAGAGTATCTTAGAGTACTTAGAGTACTTCCTTCACTCCTGATGTCATTGCTCACATGAATTCCTCCTGTCTGCTCTGCAGTTCCACCACAGGGACCCTGGTATCGTGGGTCTGTTGACCAGTGATCAGGTCCCTGCAGGCCGGACGGTTTACTACGGCATGATCGCTGACGGGATCCACACCAACCCTGCAGCGCTGAGGATCGCACACAGAGCCCACCCCTCAGGTCGGTATAGTGAAGTTTTGGCTATCTCTTTTGGTCATTTTGCATGTCTTTGTGGTCTTGTTTTGTCTTGTTGTTGTTTTGTGTCTGTTTAAGTTAGTTGTACCTTTTACCTCTTTGTAGATATTGTTCTATCGTTTTTGGTTGTTTTGCATTTATTCTTGGTACATTTGCATCTCTTCGTGCTGGTATGTTTTCTCTTTTTGGTTATTTTCTATGTATTATTGTTGTTTCCTTATAGTTTGTTTTGCATTTTTTTGTTTTTGTTTCTATCAGTCAAAAAAGATTTGCCTCTCGAGTTATTGTTTGTTGTGTCCCTTTGTGGACGTTTTGCATTCTTTTGTGGAAGTTGTGAATCTTTTTGTAGTTGTTTTGTATCTTGTAGGTCATGCTGCAACTCTTTTTGCCCCTAACCTCTTTGGCCCAGTAGGCAGTAGAGAGATCATGGTTGTTGTTGTTGTTGTGTTTGGTAGTAAGAGTTTGCCCTTGTCCTGACATCACCTCCCGTCCTCTTGTCTGTGTGTCCCCTCAGGTCTGGTGCTGGTGACGGATGCGATCACAGCGATGGGGCTCCCCCCTGGTCGTCACACTCTGGGTCAGCAGGTCATCGAGATCCAGGGTCCCCATGCCTACGTGGCAGGTCTCTACTTCCTATCTTGGTTTGAAAAAATAAAAGTAACACATTTTCTTTTGGCAATGAAACCAATTATGAGGGATTTATAGAGGCAACACAAATGTATTATCAAATAAATACATGTTCTGAAATCCTTTTGTGTTATAGGCACTACGACACTCAGCGGCAGCATAGCCACGATGGATATGTGTGTGCGGCACTTTAAACATGCTTCAGGTGAGTTTTTATGCAACAAAATAAGAGATTACACATTTTGGAAAACCTATACACGTCTCTGTTTTCCCAGAAAATACTGAGATATCTCACCAAAAATGATTTGTCAGAACCAGAAATTAGGACAATTGATCACAAAATAACATTGAGGTTGGGCAGGACATCTTTGTTCTATAGTATCAAAATTATTTTCAATATTCAATCAAGAATCCTGTAGGTACTTTTCGAGGAAATGGAAAAACCAATAACATGCTATTATCCAACAATAAATAAGACAATTTAAAAGAATACATAGTTCAACAAACAAAATGATACTGATACTTTACGCATTACCTATACTACAGCTAACTTCTGGACAACATTTCAAGTAATACAAAAATAGAGAAAAAAATAGATATATCTGCAAAAACAATTAAATTGTGTAAAATGTATACCACTTTGGCATTAATACTGTATTAGAATATATATTTCAAGCTATATTTGTACATACTCAGCGTTAACACTTTTTACACAATTGTATATATCTTATTTTCAGAAACAATATTATTTCACTATTGTATATATTAGAATATTAATATGTTTACATATGTATTGTTGTTATATATTGCAGTACAGTCCGCATATTTTAATAAATTAATTATTTTTGATTTAATTGAAATGGAGCAACTGTAACAAAACCCAATTTTCCCCAGGGATTAATGTGTCTCACTGTTAAAAGATAACCAAATTGTTTGCTAACTTAACTAATCTTCTTTCAATTTCTTATACGCCCAGGCTGCAGTGTAGAGGAGGCTCTGGAAGCTGCCTCGCTGCATCCCGCTCAACTCCTGGGTCTCAGCCACAGGAAGGGAAACCTGGACTTTGGGTCGGACGCAGGTGAGGATTTACTGGAAGATGAATCATTCTCTCTGCAGCGTACAGACGGAAACGATAATCCATTTATTGTGTTTGCAGACCTGGTTTTGCTCGATGATACCCTCAACGTCAAAGCCACATTTATTTCTGGGGAGGAGGTTTGGAGAAAATGACCATAGAAGAAGAAGGAGAATAAGCTGGGACACCGTGGTGCCTTCAGGGAACGCTGTTAAACACACAACTAAAATTCTGTTGAATGTTTTAGTTCATCAGAAAACATTGTTCTTTATCCTAGGCTGCTCTACACTAAAAACACGTCAGTTATGACGTAAAGATCAGGCGATTAATGTCCTTAAAAGGACACTGTACAGAGGATAAACCTTTTTAAATATTGATAAATAGGACTTTTCTTAAAACCTCTAGATATAAAAATATAGAAGTTGTCTCTCCATATTTCCTCCATTCAGAAATGTTATTCTGCGTGTGTTTGAGAGTAATCATTGCAGTTTTCTATTAAAACTTTTTTTTTTTAATCTTTAATTCAAGTTTCAGCAATCAAACACTGACTCAGATTTGAAGTTTATTCTGACATTGAGATTTGATAAATGATATTGCTTCTGATGTAAAATATATTTTTGTTTAGCCTGTTTATTTGAATCACATGTTTTACAGATGCGATTTTAAGGGATACATTTAGGTATTAAACTAAATAAATCAACTTTTAGTAAATGTTACTGTAACATGAATGTTCCTCAATAACATTTACTTGTGTTGTATTTATAGTTGTTCCAGGTGGATTTTTGACGTTTGGGTACATTACTATTTGTTTGCATGATTTAGCCTGTCTTTTGTTGATTTTTTTGACGTTCATATACTCTTAAAGTCATATGTAAGGGAAACAACTTTTAAAACAACAAGAAAAGGGCAAAATACAAAAAAAATTATTTCAAAAAGAGTTTTTTGTATTTGGTCGAATCTGATTGGTTCCCCTCGCCTGTCTACTTCTTGTTGAACGTGAACGTTAAAAAGGCTTTCAAAATGGTAGACAAACAATTAACGGTTTATTTCTGCCACAAACCAGGAAAACTTAATCTATAACTTAGATGTGTTGGTGTAAACATTGGTTAAATACAATAATGACTATGTACTACGACAAGAAGCAACGTTTTCCGAATCGAAACAACTTTAAATGGGTTCAAAAGCAACTAAGCTTCATAATGCTAAAGTTAACTAAAATGAGCAGGTAAGAACATTCATAAACTACCTCAAACTACTTTGCTCAACCACTTTTGTGATATGTCAAGAAACGAAGGTCACTTTTAACTTTAGCTGTTAATTTTTTTCTTCTTCCAATAAGTATGACGAACAGAGATGTATACCATTTGACAGGAACATTGTTAGTTCAAAGACTAAACCATAGTCATTGCTAAAAACCTAGGAATGTTGAATGATATTTTCCTGGAAATTAAGTAGTGCTGCTATTATTTACTTAATGTTATTATACATGTTTTAAGTGGTTGGTGTGTTATCTCTATGCCGAATTAAAAAGAAAGCAGCAATGATTCCTAAGACAAAACTTTAATTTATGTTTTACAGAATGTACGCACACATGTATAAATCAAGCAATATTATATTACTATATTTATAATGGAGTCTGGTGGGGAAATGTAACTGAACCGACTGTCTCGGTATGTAGCTTCATGCTGGAACTTAATGTGGGAAGAAGATATTCATCTTGACCGGATGAGAGATCGATAAGTGCCGGCTGCTGCTGCCCGGTATCCTTTCCGTCCTGCAGATGTCCCGGGAAACAAAGATAATTGTCCACGGCGGCGGGTTAAGGGAGAGAGCTGCACAGTGAAGCTAGCCACAGTTAGCCACTGCGAGGACCGGAAACAGGGAACCTTCAAAAATAAACACATGTCTGTGTGAAAAATGGTGAGAATGTTGTATTCATTTATATTGTAGTTTTAAAAAAAATTATTGTTAGGTACAATGTAGATGTCCACAGTTTGCTTGTTTTTTCCAACCAGCAGCCCAAAATGTTGTATGTATTATATATATATGTATATTATATTGACCCTAATATATGTCAACTGCAAATATCTACACTTTAGAAGCCGGAACCAAAAACGTTTTCCCAGTTTTGTTTGTAAAATAAGTTATAGTAATTAAATTATGAAAAGAGTTGCTGATAACTAAAAAATAGTTAATAATTAAAAACATAAAGTCAACAAAGCAAATATGAAGTGTAAAAGTGCAAAGAAGAAAATATTTCAAGCTAGATCAATTGATTTTCCAAATGATATTTAAAAGATCACAACAAATATATATGATGAGTTCTTGACAGAATCGCACTTTACATGAACATTTTTTTTGTTTGCCTATCAAAAGCATGCATTTAAATTCATTGCAAACCGTATCTGTCAAAAGCAGCTTTATTGTGAATTATGTGACAGGAAGTGTGTTTTATTCCCAGTGGCTTGTCTATGATGGTGAGAAGAGAACAGTGGTGACTGTGCACATCGGGCTTACATTAAAGCGGATGCATGGAGATCTCAGGCAGCTGGCAGGAATATTATTCTCCTTGGTGCACTGAGTGTCCTGTCTGCAGTCGGGTAAGTCTCATTAACTCTCCCCTGCGCTGCTTTGTGTCTCTGCGTCCTCCTGCCTGCCGCTCTGCAGCTTCCCACGCAGCCATCAGCTGTACTGCAGGTGCACCAGGTTACCTTAAAGTCTATTTGAACTTCACTACCAGCAGGGAAGCATCTGCATTGAGGTGCAGAGGGATTCACTCAGCATGCATGCTTTCTTCAAACCACACAAAGAGTATTTATTCAATTTCAAGTTTTGAAATCTTACATTTTAATGTACTGATTTTAGTGAAGCAGAAGCAGATGCATGAAAAACCATATATATAGTATGTGACAAATGCTTTAAGATTGTATCTTTATTATGATAAGGGACATTTTTGATGGAGAACATTTGTCTTCTGAACTGGGAGTCTGTAACACACACACATCTGAAGCTGGAGCTCCTGATGGTATCACACACATTTTAAGTCCTTGTTCAAGGACACAACTGTGGAGTGAGCAGGGAGGGAGCTGAAGCAAGAGCTGCAACCATTAGTAACTTATCAGTTTGAGTAGTCTTTTTTTTTTTTTAAGAGTCAAAATTATTTGGTTTTGGTTTCCTAAATGTAAATATGTGTCTTCTTTATTTGCGCATCTATAACAGCAAACTGAATATATTTTAGATAAAGACAAAAAGAAACAGTAATTTACTATTTTCTTTTTTTTTCTAATTCAAGCGGCTAATTAATTAATTAATTAAACCAATTAAGCAACAATGAAAATATTTGCAACACATGACATATTTTATGAGTCACATTTACTGACTGTAAAAACAAGTTAGGGTTGCAAAATCTAATCACTATCGATTAATCTGCTGAATATGTTTTAGTTTTATCGATTAGTTGTTTTGTGCACAAAAAAGGAGAAATATGTCCAAGATGATGAATCTAAAAGTATTGTTTTGTCACACATATTTACTTTAGTATGATACAAAAATGAGAACAGCAGTTAATCCCCATTTTGAGATTTGCATTTTTCTTACATTTTTGCATGAAAAGTTACATTATTGATTATCCAAATACAAAGCAGCCACTTTTCTGTGAATATTCTGCATTATTTGTTGTAAACCTTTCTGTACTCCATTATCAGAATAATTGATCTCACTTCAAACTCTCCCTCTGCTTCCTCCTTCAGGGCGCTTCCTCCTGAGCCAGCAGCATGGGAGGTTCTACTTCCTCCCTTGTTGATGAAGCCGAGGGGGAATCTGCCCCCCGGGGTGCCGCTCTGTCCCCCTCCCCCGTCATGGGATGTCTGAGGAGCAGCCAGAGCACCTCCATCCCTCGACAGAGCCACAGACCCAGCAGGCACAGAGAGCGCAGGTAAAGACTCTGAAACAGACAGACACCAAATCATTAGTTTTAAAGAGCTCACTCAGCATGGGCGTCGCAGCCATTATATGAGGGTGGGACAAGTCCCCCCCACTTTTTGAAATGATTAGTTTAGACGCCCCCACTTTTACCATGTGGAAAGTCCGTGAATCGGTCTATCCACTCGCCGCACTTTGTAGAGCGCTGTGTCAGCGCTTCACTATCAAATCCATTCCACTTGCTTATTGAGAGAATGCCCAAATCAATGAAACTCCGTACCATGTTTTCACTGGTACTTTGTACCAAGGCAGATTCTCCCATAGCACGCGCATGTTCAAGGAGTGTTGTCATAGTTAGACAGCTCAGATCTGTTGTATGAAGCGATGCCGGTAGCAGAGGTAAGGCACACCCACACAGCGGCGTGCGTTGACGCTTCACCATTCACTTTGAATGGGGTGACGTCACTTTTCGCCGAACTGCATCATGGGAAGCGACGCGGAGCGTTGCTGGCGTGGCTCGCTGCAAAAGTTGAGCAATGTTCAACTTTTGACGCCTCGGCAGAAGCGTCAGCCAATCGAATCATATGCCAGCACAAGCTCCAGCCAATCAAACTGCTGCTTGTGTGTCAGGGGCGGGAGATTCATGTGATTGGTTGTTGGTCGAGTGTCAGACACGAC